AGATCTAGTTGTGCTGTTCTTTTGAAGTCATTTTCAATTACCAATGACGGGGTTACAGTCTCATTTATTTGCATCAGTATATTTCAACATTTTCGAGAGATGCTGTTTTGACAAGTAATAAAGTAGGTACATGCCTCTAGTAGGGCCTATCAGAGGTATTAAAGTTTTTTCACATTATTTGGAATTTTCGTTTAATATGTAAGCACATTTATTTAGGAAAATGCTCAAAAGTATGAAAACGAAGCACCTATTTTCCCTCTTGAAGTTTATATACTTTCATGACCACCCGGTATCTGGAGGCGCTTCGTTACGAAATGTGTCGTGTCGAAGGTATTTGTGTTGGAGGCTAATTTGAAGTATGAATTTAGAAATTTCTTCTCGTACATTTAAGTGAGTATATACTTATAGTATATACATATACTTAACAGGAGCTAATTTAATGAGTTGCAGAAACAGCATCCAATTAAGTCGTGAGTGGTCTCAAAAGAAACGCTCTTAATTAATTTGAATTTTAAGACTAATTACAGATTTTTAGGACGCCAGCAGGCCGCACTTTGTATATAAATACATTGGGTTGGTTGGGAAATCAGCGTTCCCTCCATGGCATGGTCGAATTTTAGCAAAGGTAAAGCCGTTGTTTAGAGGGGGGATCTTTTTGCCTTTTTCAAGTTACGTTCGTAAATGTCGTAATTTTTGAGCTTCTCCGTAAATTTACTTTTTTACATAGTGATGAAATTATCAGACTTTTAAACGAAAAATCGTATGGAAAGTGGTACTTTTTCACGATTTTTACTATGCGTTTCCATGGAGTTTAGTCCTGTCTATTAACAATAGCATCCATTTTTGAGTGACAGTAAATAGCGAATGTCAATAAAATTATTCAATTGTGGGTTATTATGGATCACTATGCAAACAAATTTCGTGTACAACACGTGTTTAAAGTGTCTTTTTTCCATGAATTTACTTTATTAACTCGGGCTTCGCTCTCATTAATCAAACTGCAAATTCATGAAAAAAGTATCACTTTCAAAACTAGTTGTACAAATAACTATTGGCAACCGTACCGTATTTAAATCATCGATCTGTTTGCCTTTGGTGTATTAACCGAAACGTAAGACTTTTTGCTAGTTAGTAGTATGTACTGTATTAATTTTTGACACTTTCCGTAAATATATCTTGCATTCATATCTTAAGTCAACCGCACCGTATTTACAGCTTTTTCCTTTGCTTGCTCAGTAATTTCTACCGCTTTGTTTAATTTGCAAGGTCAGATTTTTGCAACTTTTTGTTCCATTAATTATAGGGAGGATATTGTTTCGCTTTCCTGCATTTGCTTTCCTGTAGACATCACTAACTAAATAACTTGTGCTTTGTTGCTTGTCCCTTGGCGGCACTCGAGTCTGTACGTCCTGTAATTCCTTAATCCGCCAATTATATTATTTTTCTACTCATATGGGTTAATGAATACATTAAACGTTCCAATTTTATGAAGTAAGAGTATAAATTATTCACATTATTGGATAACAGCAGTGAGTAATAATTAATCACTGGGCATGGCTTTAAAAAAACTCACCGCAGCCAGCCAATGAGAAAGATTCATAAAAAACAAAGAATCGATCTGTCAATTTATCTGGTTGTAACTTTCCTTTGTATCGAAATATAGGACTTGCCCAAATCTAAGAATTAGATTTAATAACACAAAAAACAAAATGTGAATTCAAAATTGTATAATTGAAAATCAATATTAAATTAAATAAAACATCCCATGCTAATTTAGACCGTTTTTAATATAAATTAAGTTGCTGAATTGAACTCAAAGGAAAAGATCACTGTATTACCGACGCATCGAATTTGAAAGTGTCAAGATGAAAATAATGAAGTTGTACGCCGCCGCCAAATATAACAGAAACGGCAAAAAAATTATGTTTAAATTTATAGCCGGAAAAGTCTAAATATCTTAGATCGATCTAAGCTAAATATAAATATGAAAATTTGAATATTTCACTCGCATTTTCTCGACCTAAAAGACAACTACTTACTACTTACAAAAGGATCTTCAAAGTGTAAAAATGGGAAGTGAGGTTAAGTATTCGTACAAATTCTGTTACTTCGTAAGTCGCACATGCCTGTTATTTTGTCGTAGTTTTGGTAGTACCCGCATTATTCAATGTTTAGGCGATTAGCTATAATTACATATAGCAATAAACCCACAATTTAAACGATCAAATTTTAAGAAATGAGAAACGAAAGCTTGGCAACCTTTTGACATCTCTGATATCATTTCAATTGTCACACTGTCACAGTATGACCAACTTTAAATATTTATAAAATAACTCAACTGCAATTGGTTTGGTAACAAATGTCAAGTTTGAATATTTTCATTAAAGTTTGCCAAGTATTCGTAGAAAGAGTATAGTATTCTATTCGCATGTAATGGCTATTACTCATTCGAAAGAATTACGGCACTCGCCTTCGGCTCGTGCCGCAAACACATTCTCATGAGTAATAGCCACCATTACATGCTCATGGAATAATATACTATTAATTTTCATGTCATTTGTGCACGAACTTATTACCGAAGTTCGCCGCATTATTTTTTATGACCAATCCGCTACGATTTCTAAGATTTTAGGGTATTCAATTGGGGCGATTAAAATACGTTAAGATGGCAGCCTTCCTCCACTCAAAACTATAACGCTATTTTGCCTTGCGATGTCAACCACCCCGCATTTGAGGAGAAAAATGGCAATGGTGAGAAAGAAGGCACCACTAAAATTGCTATTTAAGGTGATTGAGGGTTGTCATCACCCCAGCAACAGGAAAAATAAAGTATCAAACTTGAAACCAAGAACACCATCACCAGAATTGTAACACCAACAGCCGAAAAGCGCCACGGGTACCTAAGAAACCTACAATTTATTCATAGAGTACTTCTCATCGCACTTCTGTGACGCAAAAGCGCTTCCTCTCAACTTCACAATAGTCGCCCGGTTGGACTCCCCATTACAACACGGTGCCAGAACCTGTCTAGGTTCGCCCCTTGGTCTTCATGTGTAAAGCTCGAACAAAAAGTCCTGTATCGGTGATAATCCTAATCGAGGTAAAGTTGTAAACCACTTCCAGACCAACAGCCTAAAGCCCTAAACCATTCTATTTCCTCAACGTCTATCGATGGTCATCCCCTCGTTGATTAGCCTTCTCTTACGACATGCAGTGTCCCAATTTTTGCCGGTCCCTAATGGATACATGCCAAACAAACCCGAACCTATTAAAATAGAAAAAATAGATGTAAAGAATAACAAGTTAAAAAAGTACTAATCGTAAACGATTTACATAAAGCGCATTTCCACTTGCATTCATTTCGCATTTTCAAGATGCAACTTCTGTTAAAATTGTAAAAATCCGGCTACAAATTAGAAAGATAGCATATGTGCAATCCATTTTTGACGTGCTACTTCAGTTTCAGTTTATAAGAAGAATCATACCCTAAAATTTTAGAAGAATTAGTCTACAAATAACGAATGTGGTTCTGGGCATGCGCAATAATTGTTTTGCGTATTTTAGTTGGAACGGGTTGCGCAAGCGCAAAACAAATTTATTTGATTTGGCATTAGTATTACCTTCATTCGAGGTGCCTACATACAAAATTTCATTTAAATACATTAACATATTAAAAATTGGATTACGCATGCACAATAGTATATTGAAAGACAAGTGTTACAATGCGACCTATTGTAATACGACTATCTTGTGGCACGAGTGGCGACGCGAAGCGTAGCCACGAGTGTCCGCAAGATAGGAGTATTACAATAAAGCATTGTAACACGCGTTTTTCATACTATTTTTTCTATTTCGGTGCTTTAATTTAATTGAAAAAATCATTATCAGAAACTATATAGGGAACGTTAGAACTAACATGTTTTATGTTGGGAACACTTTTTATGCCGTTAAGTTTTAGATTGGCAGCGTAGTAAGACTGACATTTTGAAGTTCAAACATGGAAGTACCCAACGAAGTACCTACTTGTACTAACTAGTAACTGCCAACTTAAGAAATGAGTTACCAAAAAAAAACGACTATAATCACTATCTTTGTACAACTGTTTTCAGCCGAAAACAGTTGTACAAAATCATCATTGTGACACCGAAATAGAAAAAAGAAATTTTTTGATTCGGCATTAGTTTTACCTTTATTCGAGGTGCCTACATACGAAATTTCATTTAAATATCTTAACAAATAAGAAAATTGGATTGCGCAAATACAAAACCCGAACAGACAGACGGACGGACAGACAGACGGACAGCCGGCGATACAACACTATGAACGATTTGGTGGATCGTTAATAAACGGTAAAAGTGTAAAATTATGGAACATGAAAAAAATAGATTTTTTGCCATAACTTTTTTCTTAAACGGCACAGAAAAAAATCTTTTCTTGGTGCAAGCCTTGACACCATAACGAACCAAATAGCGAAAACATAGAGCAATAGATCTTAAGATAAAGAACTAGTAGCGACCGGACCGACAGACGGACGGACGGACGGACGGACGAACAGACGGACGGAAAAAGTAGCCACTATACCGCTTTTTTTAATTTTTGTGGAAATGCGCTAAAAATGCAGAAAATTTAAAACGGAAATGAGAGTATAGAATCTCAATCCTTTCTTTGAGTGTTGCACAACCTTCTTGTAAGACTTAATTGAAATTCGTAACACAAATCTCAAGACGTTGACGTTGGACCCATTCTGCTACCATCAAAACTGCTATGAGTACTTACATTTACCCTCGCATTTACCATTAAATGGAAATTAATGATCAATCCTTTCCGTTGTCACTCCCAAACCAAAATAAGAATAAGTTCGTTTTTATGGACGTAACTCTAAATGCATTTTGATTTCCTGCCGATTAAGTGCCCGATAGGTAGGTACCTACGTTTTATGTTTATTTTTCCGAAAGGAAACCATACAATTTTTAACAATTTCAAATTTATACGCCATATAAATATCTTCATAAAACTCTTCTTTCACTACGTGCGAATTTAACATGACGTGTCCCATTTCTTCGGTATACAAGTTTGTTGCCATCTTCTTGTTTCCTGGTCTAACTTCGTCACGGTCAAGGCCTACGCGATGTCGCAATAGCAGAACGCGGAAGTACTTATCAGGTACTTCTTTTAAAGTTACACTGCGTTGGCAGGTAATGACACATTTGTGTTTTCTTAAGGTAAAAAGTGTTTCAAATTTACTTACTTAAAACAAACTGTACTTCTAGCAAATTACGCTAATTGATATTTAATCGTATATAGCTCCTAGATAGTAATTTTGCGAAGGATTGCTAATCAAATTAGGTTACATAATGCGATTGATTACACGTTCTCGTGCAATTAATTTTAATATTAATATTAATATTTTATTTTAATATTCTACGTGGTGCAGAACCTCCGTTTATGGTTTTGGGCACTACGCATTGTGGTTTTTTAATACCGCAAAGAACGAGTATGATCCTTTCCCAATCTGAAAAAAAAGCAAAATTAGTACTTATTACCACCCATTGTACTTACATCATTTCATTCACAACGACTGAGCTAAACGGTTTTATTTTATGTTTAGGCATTTCTGTTCATTGGGGCTATATGGATGCAGTCAAGAAAATAGGAACAGTTTTACTTTTTTGGATCATATTATGCCTAGGGTGGCTCATTATTAGTATGAAGTCGTGGAAATGTGATTTTCTATCATTAAATGTATTTGAGCACTTAGTATTTGATTCAAAGGTCAAAATGGTGGTCCAACCAAGAAAGGTCGTCGTTATCATTGTTGCCGTTTTGGGATTCTTTGTCACATCAAAATTGCATTTTTTGAAATGAAACACCTTAGTTTGTTAATAAAACTTAATATTTATTTTCTTTAGGTGATCGATTCGACTTGTAGACGCTAAGGCCTGAAGATGACTTACAAGTCGAAATCGATCGCCTAAAGACAATAAATCTATTGAATGGCCAGTTAGGTCTTCCGATATGACGCCCTTGACTTTTTCTGTGGGTCATGTCAAAAATAGGCCATAGAATATCGGTCAGGTTCAGATTCGTCTCGTCTCGTCTCGCCGGCATCACTATTAGCGAATTCATTATTTGTCGATGGTCAATGGTCAATGGATTAAAATTGAAATATCGAATAATGTAGTGGGTGTTCCATTTAAAAAAATGCAATTTTGATGTGCCACGCCTTTATGACCAACCCTGTATAATTAAAATTATTACTACCTAGTAGACATTGAAGAACTATATATATTTCTTGTATATATATATTTCCCCCGATAATCGACCGTTTGCAGACTTATCAGCGACCCTGTATATTTTGAACACGAAATGCCGACAGTTTTTTTGTATTATAGGAGTTAGGAAGTTGTATAATTAGCAAATAGGAAAGTAGTTTTATTTTTTTCTCTTCAAAAACATTTTTTTAAATAGATCACATATTTTGAAATAAAATAAAATTATGCATATCAAAAATCCTTAACACACAATTAGTGTCCTGGGTCAAATAATAACAGAGCAACAGTAGCATACAAATTAACTAAAACAGTAAAACTACAATAAAAAGATTTTTAGTGGAGCACGCAATATAGAGATCTTGTACATACTGATATATCCAATAATAATAAGGTAAGTCATGTTATTAAAAAGTTGATAGTAATATTTTAAATTTCAGCTGATATCCAGTGGTAAGCTGCTTGTTTATATTGGCGACGGCAATACAAAGGCATTCGCAAGTGTACAGGGTGGTTCAAATTCACCATTGGGATTTCGGCAACGGTGAGTGATACAGTGTAGGTTAAGCGGGGGTTCTGTGACTCAAATTTCCTTTTCATTTTCAATAGCGGTCGCCGATCGGAAATGGACGGTTCCCGTTCCCGTCCTGGGCACTTTTTTTCGGAGAATCTGAATCCGTTATCAGAATTTTCATAGCACGCTAGATGTAGAAGCTATATGCTACTACCTACTTTCTTATTTCTTGTGGGCGCCATATTGGATCTTTACGGAATGAGATATAGGAAAAAAAGAAAAATAATGACATGTCACACTCTACATTACATAAATTTACAAGAAAAATGTCAAAATCGAATGTTTTACATTTCATTTCCAAAAAAAGATCCATGGGTAACTAGATCTTGCTGAACGAACATGGCGATGATGGCGATGCAATGAAATGAATTTCTTTTCTTGTCCTCGACTTCATTCCATAAAAATCCAATGTGGAGCCCATAATGACTAAGAAAGTAGTAGTCTGTAGCCTCTACATCTAGCGTGTTATGGAAATTCGGATAACAGATTCAGATTCTCCGAAAAAAGTGTATAGATGGTTCTAACGGGAACCGTTCATTTCCGACCGTTTAAGTTTAGGAAACGAAAACGAGGTTTGACATTTTCAGTTTTGGATGGATCTCAATAATTTTCAAAAATTTCAAATGCGATTTTTCACTTTTTAGTTACAAAAAGGGGCAATTTTGTCCCCATTTAACCTACACTGTATCTCCCACCGTTACGGAGACTCCAATGGTGAACCACACAAATTTGAACCACCCTGTACTGTATACCATATGGAACTACTAGGTTGATTAATTCTTAGGATTGCAATGGTGAAAATTATAACACCCTGCGTCCACGTTTTAAAAAAATAACCCTGTATATTATTGCATATTTTGAAATAAAATAAAATTTTATGTACGAAAATCTACCCTCAATTATGTTGCAACACAAAAATAAATTAATGCATCCTCAATCAAAAAGAGAAATAAATCATAATATGATGCGCCGCTCTTATAAATCATCACATTAGTAATCATTTGCCTCAACCAGGTATATGTGCACCAATACTAAACATAACCTATAATTTCATTCTCCTTGGGTTCTTTTTCGTTCGTTTATTTTTCTCTTCTCTTCTTGTTAATTTGGCCGTTTTCAAAACGGCCTTTTCAAAACTCCCAGTTTCTTTCGAATATTTACAAAAGTGAGTAAATTACTTTTTAGCGCATTTCCACAAAAATAAAAAAAAAATGCGCTATTGTGGCCACTTTGTCCGTCCGTCCGTCCGCTCGTTTTGCGACGCTACTAGTTTTTTATCTTAAGAGCTATTGTTCTACTTTTTTCGCTATTTGGTTCGTTATGGTGTCGAGGCTTGTACCAAGGAAGGATTTTTTTCTGTACCGCTTACAAAAAAAGTTATTGTAAAAAAAACAAAAAACCGTTTTTTTTACATGTTCCATAATTTTACACTTTTGCCGTTTATTAACGATCCTAGTAGTGCAGCGGAGAGCCGGCGCTAACTCGCTTATTTGAGGTAGTTTTTTTTTTCGGAGTAGAAAGAATTGGGACCCACACCATTTTGTTCAGAAATGTTTGAACCTTCAGAATCTCGCCTTACGACATTTTCCCGTGGTCCTGACAAAAGTTATAGGCCGCTAAAGTTGAAATTTACTCATTTTCGCGCGCGCGACTAGACCACGAAAGTATTTATTTTCTCAGCAACTAAGCGATATACATCAATAATTCCTTTTGTAAAATGAAAGTACATTTATAGCAGAATCTAAAGCATTCAATTTACCTACCTTGTTATGGACAGTTTTTAGAAAAATGACCGTCAACTTCCAAAATTCGTGTAGCAGATGAAAAGTGCGCACTTTGAACTCTCATAACTTTTTATTTCACGATATCGATTTCCAATATTTATAGCTCATTCGATGCTCCAAAGCATTGTGATTATTTTATTTTCTATAACATTACCGTGAATTTTTCATAATAAAAAAGTTACGGTCATTTAAGTAAAAACCTACCGACCTCGCCGAGTCGGTAATCGCGAGTGAGACGGAGAGGGAAGGATAGTCAGCAGCGTTCGCTAAACAAGGAGCGATGCGTAATTTACTAAGAAATTTCTCTCCGAATACCAAAACTAGCTATTTAGGCCGTTTAGTTTACAAATGCATTCCGCCGAGTTGCATTGTAAAATCTCAAACAATTCATTAACTCCATGTATCTCAGTTCTTTGGTGAAATATATAGGTACAAAACCTTTCCCTGTAAATTTTGGGGGTTACTCCACATCAGGTATCTCTTGTGCTGTGCTGTATATTGCAAGATCAGCAGTAACAACGGTATGATTTTGTCCCAAAGATTCAGGCTTGTTTTTTGATTTCACTAGACGATGGTTAGGATGGTATTGTAGCTCGCTGGTGGAGAATTCAAAAACGGCATAGGTATATTATATTGAATGGTAGATACCGGAACTTACTTAGGAGGATTATCAGCAGGTACTTAGGCTGTTAAAGTCAGTTATCTGGTCGTTATCTAGTGATAGGTAAACCTGGTGGTCAATCATTTCTAGACATGCCGTCTGCATGATCTCGAATTTAAACTTAACTTAAATAATTTAAATATGTCGTCATCTCAATAGGTTCAAAACTTTTATGAGTTTATTTTTTCCCCCCGGTTCTTTTGAAATGTGTTAAATTCAACTTTCAACTTTTAATGTAATAATTCAACCCTCCGGTTGGTTGTCTTAAGCTTAACAAGGCTTGATAATAATTCGTTTTGAAACTTAGGACAACCTTTCCGGTTTAACCACCCTTCAGGTTTTTTCACTTGGCTTCGGCCAGTTAATAATTAAAAAACAACATGTTCGTCTTATTCGTCTTCAACGTTTGTAACTTACCGTTTTCCTGTTAAATTTCACATCGCCTGATGATGGCAGTACGCCGAAGCTATAGTCGCTTTTATTTTTAAAAACTTCAACGAATAAAAACTATATGGGAAAGGTTTAGAGAGTTTTGATCACACAATATATTTCAACCCCCATTTCAAGGAACGATGGATCCAAACACAAAAAAAAAAAATCCATGTATTCGTTTAGGAGCCATCCTCAAAAAAGTGGTAAAGTTTCTTTTTTTCTCAGCAACAGTTACAGAGACTGGTGGTAAGTCTTTGAATAGGTTTTGCTGTATGCCCTTTCCGGTTTTGCAAATAATTTTTCAAAATTCCTACCGCAAAAGGACACACCCCTCAATAGGGGTGCGAAAAAATGTTGATTTCGACGAAATTTGGTATCTGGTGGTTTTTGAATCTGAAATTAGTTTTTGAAAATTCGAAAAAAATAATTCCACTGCAATTCTTGGCCGGACAACGAAAATTGACAAAATTCCACGAAGTTTGTTGTCTAGGTACATACTTACGGAACAAAATTATTGAACAGTTTTTCTTAAGGTCATTTTTCAAACAAAAGTTACACTCATTTGCAAATTGGTCTTTCGGGTCAGAAAATGTTCTCCGACAGTGGCATAACAAGTACAGTAAACGTCAATATTACATGTTCTGCTAAGGGTGTCTACCTACATTTCACAAAAATTTGTCAAATAAAATGATAATTTTATCACAGCGACCATTAATAACTTCGACATCAACGAGGAAACCGTCACAGAATGAGAATAAGTAGGCTATATTCTGTGGAAACAGACGAAAAAAA